GCGTGACAGCCGGGTCTGGTTTGTGTCTTATGGAGAGGACTGGGGTAGGTTCCGTGTGACTCGCTCAGAAGATGGATCTGAAAGCGCGTCCTGTTTCCCTTCCTGGAGAAGCCAGGCCGCACACACAGGAAGGCCGGGTTTACACATGACCGTCCACCACACCTTGGCCCGTGGGCCTCTGAATGACGGGCACGGCCTCAGGCCCTTGGGCCTGCAGAAGCCCCTGGGCTCCATGCTCAGCTTCAAGCATCACGCTGACTGGCCAGCCGTCCCACAGGGTAGCTTCCTGGTGGTGTGTCGATGCCCGGCCTTGTGCAGCTCCACACCACTGTTGTCCTCACAGAAGGAGGCTCAGGTCTACCGAGCAGTCACCCCCCCCTCCCCCCATCACCCGTCCCCTGAGCCCACCCGCCTCCTTCCTGTCTCTGGCTTTGACACCAGTGCCATTATGCAAGCGGCCCATGGGACTGCTGACCTCACACTGGCCGACAGCTTCACACCAGGGGTGTCCGGGTGTCAGCTGCAAAGTCTTTGTGGCCATACCACATCACGTCTGTATGTCTGTCGACAGACGTTTGGCCTGTGGGAGCCATGAGAGTAGCCCTCTGCAGGCGGGTCGGTTCCAACTCACCGGGCTCTCCAGGACACAGAGGCGCAAACCCTGACCTTCCACTGAGCACCCAGCGCTCCGGCTGTGAAAGTCAGTACACAGGTGTTTGTTCAAACACCGTGTTCTGTTCGTTTGGGGGTATTGCCTAGCAGGTGGGCTTCCAGGAGAATATCCTGGGGGATAGTGTAAAGTGGGACTCTCTGAAGGACCCCCAGGCTCTCTTCCCACAGTGGCACCCTCCATCCATGCAGCAGCCAGGGCTCCGGCGTTGCCACAGCCACCCCCATACTCCTGCCCATGGTGTTCATCCGGACCATGCCCAGGCAGCAGCCGCTGCTCCCCTGATAGCTGCTGACGCCAAGCGTCTGCCCAGGGCCCTCCAGCCGCGAACCGTCTTTTGAGACCAGTCCGTTCGTCTTTGCCATGTTCCGAGGTTGGCTGTCTGTCTTGGGCTGTGTGTGCTCGTGTGTTGGGGATGGAGATTTTCAAGTATATGCTGAAGTCGAGAGGATAGTTACAAGAGGCCACGTGACCGTTCCCTCCACCCCCCACCCCCCCTATGATTCAGAAGCAAATCCCAAATCTTTCATCTCATCAGAGCCTTTGACAGAGTGGCTCCCCACTTCCCATTGGATCAGAATGCTTCTTGCAAGGTCTGGCCAGTGCCCATTCATGCTCATGGGGTAGTACGTCTCTCTGAAGGGCACTGTGGGGTGGGTTAAGCACTGGGCTGCTCACTGCAAGGTCGGCGGTTCAGGCCTACCAGCAGCACTGAGGGATCAAGACGAGGCTGTCTGCTTGCCTCAGAGACCCTGGAAGGTGCTTCTGCAGTGGCCTCCACGTCATGGTGGTGCAGACGGACCTGAAGGCGGTGAGGGGCTTTAACACTGCCCGCTCTCTGTTGAAACCCCTCCCTTCCTTGTCCTCCTTCAGCCTGTCCGCTTGGAGAAGCCGACGGGGCGTCCTGCATTTCCTGGTGCAGACTTGTTGGTGCCGTCCCTGTGGCAGGGGGTGTGGGGTGGGGTGGGAGGAGACCGGGCCAGTTATGTGAGGGGCT